TCAACCCTCAACGGATCTATATGTTTTCTCAGATGGCTCTGAACAGGACCATGACAACAGCAGACGGGTGGGCTATGGCTTCATAGTCTATCAGGGAAATAAACAGCTGGCCAGCTTCTCAGCTGCGCTGAGCCCTATGTCACATGTCTTCGACGCTGAGGCAGTTGGTGCCTGCCGGGCATTAGAGTGCGCCGTGAAGCTCCTACCTTGTGTCACAGGGGACAGCAGCAATCCTCAGATCTGGCTCTGCCTCGACAACACCTCAGTCATCTGGGGCATATGGGGCAGGGCAGCAGCCTCCTCAAACTGGGCCTACAACCGCTGCCATGAGCTCCTCAGACAGCACAATGTCGGCCTGAAATGAGCTCCTGGGCATATGGGGATAGAGGGCAATGAGGAAGCAGACCGCTTGGCTAAGCGGGCAGTCTCATCCACTGCAGCCCCAGCCTATGGACTCGAGGCCACACCCACAGTCAGTGGGGTCCGCACAGTGGCCAAGCAGCTCAGCCAAGAGGCAAGGCGAAAGTGGTGGAGTGGAGCCTGTGGCAAGCTCTCTGACTGGTACCGGGGCTGGAGGTTCAGCAGGCCGACTGTGGAATACCAAGTGAAGGCCCCTCCGGAGCTCACCATGCCACGGCATGCCCTTCACTGCTGGCTTGCACTCCGATCCTCTCATGGGGACTTCTCCTGGTACCACAGGCGTTTCCAGCATGCAGATGCAAGGCTCACCTGTGTCTGTGAACACAACAAGAGCCCAGAACATTTGGTGCTCTGTCGACACTCACAGAGGCACCTTCTTCACTGGCCCAAGAGGTCAGCAGCACGGCCACACAACCGGGTGACAGCTGTTGCCTATCTAGGGTCTCTGACCTCTACAGACTTTGTAGAACTGCTGGACTGCACGCAGTTCTACACACGGTACTGCACAAGGTAACGCAGCCGGCTGGCTGCAAACCATCTGACAACCCCCGCAGCAGTTCCACGAGGCCGGCCTGCTGAGTACACCCACGGTAGCTAGTGCAACTGCCAGGGACAACACAGTCTATGCAGACAGTACAGATAGCACAACTGAGCTCATCTGTTTCAATTAGCTGTGGTGTAATCAGTACAGTCTATGTGTCTGACTCAGCTGATATGTTCTTGACTGCCGGCATTGTATCTACATGTACTCTGCTTTGTTTTCCTCTCATTTGCCCTTGTCTCTATCGGCTCAACTGCTTCTTCTTCCTTCTTTTCTTTGCTCTCTCTGTCATTCTCTGCTCTTTTCCTTCCACAACCTTCTTCAGTGCTCTCCTCTTTCTTTTCCCCCGGGTCTGTGCCAGGTCGCGTGACTGCAAGGTGTTGCAGATGACACAGTCTTTCCTTCACCTCTCTCTTTTATTCTTTTCATTTCAGAACACACACTTTCCCTCTCTTTCTTTCATTATCTATCTTATCTGTCTTTCTTCTGATGTTAGAAGCACAGACAGCTTTCAGATCAACTGAGAGAGGTATCCCTCTCTGCTCACTATAAAGCCTTCCAGGCACGGCAGCGGCGGTCCCCTCAGGGAACCACACTATAGCCCCACCATGAATGGCCATACGTCGGGCCAGAAGTGGATGCGCAGCTCAGAAAAAATCCTTTGCAATGAGCTGAGTCTTCTCAAGAGTTGCCACCTGGATTCTGTTTTCTCTCTCTCTCTGTGTACATAGAAATCTCTCCAGCGTAGCATGTCTCCATGCCCTTCGGGAGGCTTCTGAAACACGGGCGCTGCCCGTGTTTTCGCCGGGACGTTAAACCTATACATACATACATACATCTTCACTGTCATCAATCAATTTCACTATCTTTTTCACAAGATAATTTATTTGTGATTTTTTTGAATTTTCATATTGATTTTTAATTTAACTGCTGATGATTAATTTGTAATCTTTGTATGTCATTTAAAAGCTCTCATTCTTGCTTCTTTATAGATTCTATTTCTGTCGGAACTGGATAAAATCCGAATATTGACTCAAATACTGAATATCAAAATAGAAAATAAATTGAATTGCTTATTATTATTCCGATAATTACATGATAAGTAGGCATTATTTATAAGAAAAAATATGCTTGGTTATACAAGTGGAGCAGTGCTTTAATACACAGCAAGGCAATTTTAAAGAAGGTGAAGCAAAATAACAACAAAGCAGATTATAGCATGATATCATCTCTGATTCTTGATATATGAGATATCAACTTCGACAATTTTTGTGTTTAAAGTTTCATATATTTAAGAAATTGA